TTTACAAATGAGAAAGCTGAGATCCATAGGGATTAAGTGACAAAATTTTACAAAGCTGGAAAGTGTCAGGGGCAGGATCTGAATCAAAGCAGTTTCTGAAACTAACTTGCTTAGTAAATGCTACTGAATATATAGTACAACCAATGCACCTAGCACATTACTTTGCACAAAATATTTATTGAACTGAAACTCTAGTGTTGGAAGCATAGGAGAGGGGAAATCTTTGGAGTAAAATCAAGAAAGCTATTCCTACTTTCACACTGAAAAGTGTCAGCAATAACCATTTTTGATAATACGTAATTTTACATTCAATTATTTCGAGAAAAAAATTGACATTGATATTCTCTCACAGAATTCTTATTCATGCCTCTAATACAGCTTAAGAAATCATGCAATATACTGAGAACAAGTCTTGTTATAAAGGATTTAAAAAAAAAACTTAGTTTCCTATATAACTGAGCCCTTTATTCAAATAGCAATAGTAGGAGAGTTTAATCCCATTTGCAAAAGTCAGGGGAACTTGAAATTCAACAATCTTTCTTACCAGGTCTTCATTAGTGGCCACCTGTTTATACTGGGAACAACTTCTCCAAAGTACTGTAATTAAACAGAAAACAGCAAAGAGCAATTACTTAGTTAACTATACCTTTAATAACCTTAAAAAAAAAAGAGTCACGAGGAAAAGTAGTAATGTTTTACAACTATTTTAGCAGTCTGGACCAAACCCCTTTTATGCCAAGTAAGGTAAGAGTGTTAAGTCCAGATGCACCCAAAGAGAGGTCCTAATCCAGGAATAATTTCCCTTCATCAGTTCACTGCCTGGAATTGGCAGATACTTCTGTGATAAGTAACCCAGACTGAATTAAATTTATACCAGTTTGTTGAATACCTCGGCACAAATAATGAATGCAAAACCTTTTCTAGGGCAAATTTTGACAAAGAAGGGTCCCGGCCATCTGATAAAGAGAAAAATAAAGGGAGGGGCAATAAGACCAACTTGATTGTATTGTCTGATATTATAGTCCTAGTGCAAGCACTGGGGAACCTTCAGTCAATAAACATGAAGGGCCTACTATGTGCCAGGCACTGTGCTAAGCACTGGGGATACAAAGAAATGTAAAGGGTAGTCCCTGCTTTCCAGGTGTTCCCAATCTAATAGAAAAGACAACATGCAAATGACTATGGACAAACAAGCCACATACAGGACAAGTGGTAGATGATCCACATAGCTAAGGCACTGGAATTAGGAGTGAATGGGGAAGGCTTCCTGTGGAAGGTGGCCTTTCAGCTAGGACTTAGCCAGGGAGCACCCCAGGCATGGGGGGCAGCCAGGGACATTAAAGAGGGCTAGAGTTGTGAGGAGGGATGGGAAGAAGCACTAAAGTGCCTACTACGTGTCAGGCACTGTGCTGAGTGAAGGGTTGGAATGCCACAGGATCGTGGAGCTTTTAATTCACCAATAATTTATTAAGCACCTACTACAAAAACCAACAAAGAAACCAGTCCCTGTCCTAAACGAACTGAAGGGGAGGCGGTGTGGACACATAAAAGTTCCTACAAAATGTGTACTGGGAAGGAATAGGCACGCATCGAGGCCCTACTATGTGCGGGGCTCTTTACATATTGCTCATCCAATTCAATAAGCTGGAAGGCAGGTTCTATTATTAGAACTATTTACTATTATTACTATTATCTCCATTTTGCAGATGACTTAAAGGCAGGGAGACAGAGGTTGTGACTCGTCTAGGGTCACACCGCTGTAAGCTCTGAGGCCGCATTTGAATTCGGGTCTTCCTACGTCCTGGCCTCGCACTCCATGCACCCATGCACCGCACCCCCGAGCCGCCTCGCCTGGCCCGGGGCAAATGGGTGACCAATGAATGCGGAGGATCGCCCGAGGCCCGCAGGTGTAGGTCAAGTCAGGCTGAGCCTTGAATGCCGGGTCACTTCCCCAGCCCGCCCCCCGGAACCGCAGCTCTCGACATTTCAGGAAGAGCCGGGGATCCCCAAAGCCGAGGGAGGGGGCGCTTACCAGTCTGAACCCCGCGGCTAGCGCGGGCAATGCACGCACTTCCCAAACGCATGATTAGCTTCTCCCTCCCAAAAGCAAGAGAACCCAGCGGGCCCGCCACGGCGAGCCCAACAACCTTCCTTCCCTCGCTCAAAAATCAGGCCGGAGCGATCCCTTCCGGTTCACGGTTCACTTTGCCGGGCCAAGACCGGATGTAATTGCGCTCAGGCTGAGCCGGTCGGCAGAGAAGGCGAGAGTTGATGACGTCATGAGACTCTCATTGCGCACGTGCAGAATATTTCCTCCACCGTAGGCGAGTCGGGGGTGGCTTCTGAGCATGCGCGGACTCCGCCGCTCAGGAGCTGGTGTCCCGCCTTCCAAGCTCAGGGTGTTAGTCCCGCCTTTAGCTTCCCGGGCATCGTACGGGGCCTCGCCCGGCTCTGGTCCCGAAGCCCCCGGGCCATGGAGGGCACCGGCTCGGGCATTCGCAGGCGGGTATCTACCCGCAAGAGGAGCCGCCGCAGCCTGAGAGAGACGGCCGCCGCTGGCCCTCTGGAGCCGGGCGAGGAGCCGGAGGAGGGGAGGAGGCGCCGGCGGAGCGGGAGCCCGGAGCGCCCCGAGGTAGGGCCCCCCGGGGCGCGGGAGGCCGAGGCTGCCCGGGGGTCTCCTCACGCCGCCCGCCCGGAGAAGCGCAAGGCGATTCGGGTCCGGGAGATGCGGTCACGCCCCGCTCCGCCCCTCCCCCTCGCCCCGCGGTCGCTGCTGCTGCCCCGGGGCCTCCCAGGCCGTACCTGCCGCCGCTGTCCGGCCTCTCCCTCCTCTCCTGCCCTTGCAGTGGGACCTGAGCATGCTTATTACACACGGATTCCCCGCACACTCGCCTCTCCCTGCCTCAGTTTACTCATTCCACTCTCCACCGGCCTTGGCCCCGCGCGACGATGGTCACGGAGGTGACAAAGCAGTGTCAGAGCCCCTGACGTTCCCTCCTCCGAGCTCAGGCGCTGCAATGTCACCTCCGTGCCGGGCACCCCCAAACCCGCTCTTCATCCGCACCGGGACCCCCGACCCTTCTCTCTCCCAGGCCACCCCTGCACTGGATGCAGCCTCGCCCTTTCTCCATCCTGATCCTTGGTGAACCTTGGTCCTCTTCGCCCGAGTCATCCTACCCATCAACCCTTGCCTTGGACCATTCCCACTGCCTGCTGCTTTCCCTCCTACGCGTGTGCTCCTGCATGAAGCTGGAGAAAAGCACGAAAACCTGCGAGCTGGGCACTCAGATTCATGTCACATCATCTCAGCTGGCCCCTCCTGCAGCAAGACGGTCCTTGTTCGCCTCCCTTCTCGGTGCATCTTACACATTTTTTTACATCCTGTGGCTCCGCCTTACCCGCTGTCTTGGCCAAGAACCTTGCTTTATATTTTATGGAACAATTAGAAGTCACTCACCAAGAGCTCCTTTTTCTCCCGTTCTTTACTGACATCATCCAGATGTTTTCTGCCACTGCTTCTTGTACTCCTGTCTGAGTTGAGGAAGTGGCTCTTCTTGCCATGCAAATGCCCTTAGGTGCATTTTGTCTTCATTATTCTCTCACTTATCTTCAAAATTTTCTGGTCTATAGGCTGCTTCCTTCCTGCCCACAAACATGTCTGTGTCTACCGCCTTCTTAAAAAACCCTCATTTGACTCCAGTTAGCTATCATCCCATATCTTTCCTCACCTTTGTGGCTAAATATTAGCGAAGGCCATGCACAGAAAGGTGTCTCCACTTTCCTTTCACTCTTTTAACTCTCTGCAGTCTGGTTTTTAACCTATTCATTCATCTGAAACTCTTCTCTCCAAAGTTACACTGTTGTTGTTCAGTCATTTCAGTCCTGCCTGATTCTTCATGACCTCATTTGAGATTTTCTTTGCAAAGATACTGGAGTGGTTTGCCATTTCCTTCTCCAGCTCATTTTACAGATGAAGAACAGGGTTAAGTGACTTGTCCAGGATCACACAGCTGGTAAGTGTCTGAGGTCAGATTGAAACTGGGGAAGATGAGACTTCCCGAATCCAGACTTGGCACTGTGCCACCAAGCTGGCAAATTTAATGGCCTTTTCTCAATCCTCATCCTTCTTGACCTCTTTGATCTCTCAGTCAAATTACTCCCACTCTCTTCTATGACACTGCTCTTTCCTGGTTCTTTTCCCACTAGTATGTGACCAGTCTTCAGTCTCCTTTAGTGGATTTTCATCCAGATCAAGCAGCTAATAGTAGTTCTTCCTTGGGATTCTGTCCTGGGCCGCCTTCTCCCCTCTGTCCTGTTTCACTTGATGATCTCACTAGCAGCATTATCTCTAAATTGATGATTCTCAGACCTACATATCCAGCTTCACTCTCTCTGCGGACTTTCAATCTTGCATTCTAACTGCCTATCTGATATCTCAAACTGGATGTCCTGTAGACATCTTAAACTTAACGTGTCCAAAACTGAACTTAGTGTCTTCCCCTCCAAGGCTTTCCTTTTCCAGATTTGCCTGTTAGTGTTGAAGGTACCACCATGCTCCCACTTGGCTTGAAACCTAGGTGTGATCATGGACTTCTTGGTGCCATTCACTCTCCATATCCAATCTGTTGCCAAGACCTGTTGTGTTTACCATTGTAACATCTCTCACATACACTCCCTTCTGTCCTTTGACACTGCCACCACCATGGTGCAGGACCTTAGCACTTCATTCCTGGACCATTGTCAGTAGTCTGCTGATTGATTTCCCTGACTCAAGTCTCTCCCCTCTTCAATCCACCTTTTACTCAGCTGTCAAAGCAATCTTCCTACAGCTCAGGTCTAACCATGTCAGTTCACCTGCTCTATAAGCAGCAGATCCCTATTGTTTCCAGGATAAAATATAAAATCCTATTTGGCATTCAAAACCCTTCATAATTTGCTCCTCCAGCCTCTCCACCATACTTTTCTGTCCAAGAACACTGACCTCTGTTCCTCAAGCAAAACACCTATCTCCCAACTCAAGTCATTTTCACTGGCTGTTATCTCCCATGCCTGGAATGCTCTTCTCTCTCATCTCTGCTTCCTGGATTCTTTCAAGTCCCAGCTAAAATCTCACCATTAACAGGAAGCCTTTCCTGATCTCTTAATTCTAGTGCCTTCCCTCTTGATTATTTCCAGTTTATTTTGTATGTAGCTTGTTAATGTTTGCATGTTGTCTCCCCAATTAGATGATGAGCTCCTTGGGGGCAAGGACTGACTTTAGCCTGTCTTTGTATCTCCAGTGCTTAGCACAGTACCTGGCACATAGTAGGTGTTTAATAAACCATTTGTTGACAGATTATCTTTTTTTATTTTTTTTCCAGTCGTTTTAGTCATGTCCAGCTCTTGGACGAAAACTCCCACTTGGAGTTTTCTTGGCAAACTATCAGAATAAAAAAATTACAAATTCTAGGCCCTTAGGTTAAGAACCTCATCTCTAGAGCCCTTTCCAACCCCTCAATTACAATTCTACCAAGAATTGTGCTGGCCTGTGAGAATACAGCTATGCCCCCTATTCCTTTATGTATTACAAATATATTGGAAATTAGGATTAGATAGCAAAGACCTGCCTCCTCTACATCTAATATTCTTGAATGAAATGAAAGGTAGATATGCTTCACTTTTCTTTAATGTTAAGATTTTTAATATTAAAGCTACTTACTCATTTTGAATTTATTGTGTACTGTAGTATGAAATGTTGGTCTATGCCTAATTTCTACCAGACTGCTTTTAGTATAATGGAATATTGTGCCATAAGAATGATGGAACATTTTCCTATTTTCCCAAGAGTTTATTTTTTAAATCAAATGCTTTCCTAATTAATTCATATTTTCTGATTTATTAAGCACGAGATTATTTCGTTCCACTGTTTCTGATTCTTCTTTGTTCATCTGTTACATGGATTCTTCCTCCCGCTCCCCCCCCCCCGGTACAAAATGGTTTTGATGACTGCTGCTTTATAATATAGTTTGAGGTCTGGAATTAGTCTTTCTTTATACCTGCCTTGATATTTTGGCTTTTTTGTTTCTCCAAATGAATCTTTCCATTTATTTACAGTGCCACAAAATATCCCTTTGATAGTTTGATTGACATAACATTAAAATTTTGGTAGTGTTTTAATTTTATTATATTGACACAGCCGATCCATGAGCACAGAATATTTTAAAAGTTATTTAAGTTCTTTATTTCATTAAGGTACGCTTTGTAATTAAATCTATATAGATATTTTGTGTGCTTCTTGGATTTTTATTATCATTATGTAGATATGCTATTGATTTGTGTGGGTTTATTTTGTGACCTGCATCATCATGGGATTTTGTAAGTAAACCATCAGGTCAGTTAGCAAACTCAGATAGTTTTATCTCCTATTTGCCTATCCTTATTGTTGTCTTAGTGCTATTTGCCAGTATTTTGAGAAGAGGTCTGTTCCCCTAGGTTCTGAAGCAGATGACAGCCTTTTAGTGGAAATCAATCCTGGCATTTACAAAACTGTTCAGATCTTCTCTATAGCCTTTTGAGGGGTTTTTCCCTTCAAGCCTATTAGGGCAAATAACCCAGATTACCTATCTCAAACTAAAAATGGCACTAGAGAGGAAGCAGCATTTTTTTCTAACCAGCTCTTCTCCTACAGTAGAGGATTCTCCTTTCTTCTCACTGCTTCTTTCAAATATCAGAAATTTCCTAAAATCAGACCAGTAGAGCCTCAAGTCATCACTTGCAGCATGTCAGTCTTTCAGCTCCTTTAGCTTCTGGCATGTTTTCTGCCAAAGAGCTTCTCTGCTCTCACTCCTGCCCTCAGTGCTTCAGGTTAGGCTTCATTATGTGTAGTGACCCATCTCTAATTTAGGAGGAGAACCCAAATCCACATTTTTGTGATGTAGGACACAGTTTATTGCGATATAATCCTATAGTCCAATATTATATAGTCTTGTATCCAAAAAAGCTCTTTGATTCTGAGTTTCCCAGTTAATAAACATCCAGGTTCTAAAAAGTCCTGTTTATTAGAAAACAGTCCATTATAGCTGTCAGACAGCATGGTGGCACAGTTCAGATATGGCCTTTGATACTAGCTGTATGACACTGGACAAGTAATTTAAATGTTTCCCTCAGTTTCTACAACTGTAAAATGGGGATAATAATAACACCTATTTCAGGGGTTGTTGTGTGGATCAAAGGAGGTAGTATTTGTAAAGTGCTTAGAACATAGTAGGTGCTGTATACTTTCTCCCTTCTCATCATGCACAATGTCTCAAAAAGGAGCTGCTTTCTCACGGTCTTTTTAGTACCTTTAACTGAGAACTACTTAGAACTATTTGTTTTCATTTCTTAGGACTATTTGCTTTTCTCTGTGATTCACACACCAATATCCTTTTTGTGTCCCTTTCAGTATATACATACCCACATGATAAAAGAGCATTTCCTTATATCTAAATTTCATTCTTACTGGAAAACCTTTGAGCAGCTTTCCAAGAGACTCCTTTTTGATGACTAGGGTCATAGCTAAGTAGAAGAAAGCTCGCTCCTCAATCACTCAGGTTGATCACTGGATGATGAATCTTAGGCCATAGAAATGATGAATCCTTCAGTTGTTTTCCCTTGACATGTATGATTACAATATACATACATTTAATTTTGAACTTCAAAGATGTTAACAGAGCATTACATATCCTAGGTTTCTTAATAAGTATATTTCCTGAATGTAACTGACCATTTTTCTAATTCTGTTGCAGACAATAGTAACAACCTTGAATTTGATAACACCAAGAAAGTAGTACTGAAGTTGTTAGGTGTCACCAATATTGATATTCAAGACTGTTTTTTGTAGTGTAAAAAATACAGTCTAATTATATTGTGGGCAGCTAGATGGCATAGCGGATAGAGTGCTGGGCCTAGAGTCAGGAAGACTCATCTTTCTGAGTTCAAATCCGGCCTCAGACACTTACTAACTGTGTGACCCTGGACAAGTCACTTAACCCTGTCTGCCTCACTTAACCCTCAGTTTCCTTATCTGTAAAATGAGCTGAAGAAGAAATGGCAAACCACTCCAGTAATTTTTTGTTGTTGTCCAGTCGTTTGAGTTGTGTCTGAATCTTGGTGCCTAAAAAACCCCAAATGGAGTCATGGAGAGTTGGACACAACTAAAATGACTGAACAACAAAAAACTAGACTGTAAGGAAATGTTGTTTGGTATTTACATATGCCATTGAAAATCATTTGACTATACTTCTGGTCATTTTTTTACATTTCATTTTTCTTAGATTTCTCCTATTCCCAGCCTCACTTTTAAAAAGAGAATTAATTGCATATTTGGGAGAGTTGCATGCTTTTAAATCTAATTAGGGATTGTTGTTATCTGACTCTTTGTGACCCCGTTATGAGATTTTCTTAACAGAGATACTGGAGAGGTTTCCCATTTCCTTCTCTCATGAACTAAGGCAAATAGAGATTAAGTGACTTGCCCAAAGTCAGACTACTAGAAAGTATCTGTGTTTGGATTTGAATTTAGTTCTTCCTGACTATGTCTATCCACTGAGCCCTCTAGCTGATCTAGTGATCTAGGGGTTAGGATTCCATTTAGCTAACTGGAAAATAAATTGGTAGCTAACTATTTAGGTCTAAAACATTAACAACCTTGTGTTGTTCTCTTATTTTCCTCGTCTTTCTCTACGTTAGCTAAGTAATTTTGTTGGTATATATCCAAATTAAATCTCATTTTGTTGGTTTTCCATTTTCTTTTGATTATAAGTTAATAAGACTTTTCTTATTACTACTTATGGTTTATTTTTTTAATATGATTTTTTCTTCTGCGTTGTAATGTTTAGTTAAATAAACACTAATAGCACCACAAAATCTAATTAGATGGGTTTCTATGGCAATTTAGTCTTTCAACTGCCTTTACCTTTGGTCAGGAGTATTCAGGGAATTTTCAATATATTTCACAGCTTTCAAAATTAATCAGTTGTACTTTATATATCAAACTTTTGTGAGAGAGATGACTTCGTGTTTCTGGTCAGAATAATTATATATTGCTGAAATACTTTTTTCCAGAGGATTTAAAAACTTATTTTTATGATTGTCATTTCTTCAGGCTAATATATTATGAATAAATGTTGGTTTAACATTGATAAATACCTTTGTTTTCTTTTCAGCATAATGGAGGTGAAGAGGACATGTGTGATGGTTATGATAGTTTTGCCGAAAACTCTTTTTTAGCTCACGTAGACGATTTAGAACAAAAATATATGCAGTTTCCTGAGTGTGGAATAATTACTGCACAACCTGCTTTTGACAAGCCTTGTTCAAAAAGCACAGAGACCAGTGAATCTGAAATTATTGCCACTGATGGTAACTTGACTGAAGTTAGAACTCGGGATTACTGCCATTCCCCAAAGACTTTGAGTTTGCAAGAAAATGTGACCATCGAACCTGGAGATGACCTTTTATATGATGTGCCGTGCTCACAGGCTTTATATTTGGAAAAAACAGAGGACTCTACCAGTGATTTGAATAAACCCTCTGCTAAAGAAAGTTATCCCCTACCTTCACACCAGAATTTGAATGAAATACCTGTGGAACAGCCCCAGGAAAAGAAAAAATTGTCTCCTAAGAGCACAGAATCTGATCCAAGCAGGAGAAGAAGCCTTAAAGATCGTTTGAAAAGTGCCATGACAGGAAATGCCAAAGCCCAGACACCCAAGTTTTCTAAGAGGAAGCAACTGAAAGAAGCTATCCTATCTGAAGAGATTAATGTTGCTAAGAGGACAATGGAATCTTCTTCTGATGACCTAGGTCCTTTTTATTCATTACCCAGCAAAGTTAGAGACTTGTTTGTACAATACAAAGGGATTAAAAAATTATATGGTAAGCCCATTGTTTTCCTAGTAACGATGATGCAGACGTGTTTATGACAAATACTTGTAATGAAACAAAATAATTTATTAACCGTTACCAGTAATATAACTCAGTTGCCCTTCTCTTCCCCCTTAGCTCACTTCCACTTTTTTTTTTTTTAAAAGAGTTTGAGGAGTAGGAGTAGATCTGTGACTTCACCCATGTGGAAACACTCTGTAGGGCACCTCCAGCGCACTTCAGCAGCTTCTCTGTAGTCATAATCTGAGAAACTTGCTTGGTGGCATTGAGAAGTTACAGCATTTATAGTATGTGACAAAGGCAGGTCTTACTGACTCCAAGGCTAGCCCCTGGAGTATGGTGCCATTTCCCTTTAGTGGTATTTAAATTTTTGTAGTTCTTAAATCACGTTTTACTCTTTTTTTTACTAAATAATGTACATTTGCCATCCATTGTTGACTCCATGGGCAGCCTACATTGATTTTTCCTTTCTTTAGAACTTTTTATATTATTCATAAGAAGTACCATAGAATTTAGCATTTAATTACATGTGGTTTTATATTGTTCTCAGTTTGATTTGTGTGAGTCCTATCTCTTTGAAGAAAGGCATGGCTAGGGGCATTTTCCTAAACACCGTGGAGTCTTATAGCAGAGAGGTCCCTGCTTTGGTCCTTCTCTTTACATCCATTATCTCCCCTTTTTCCCCATAGCTCGGTTGTTAGAGGTTACCGTGTCATTTCCCTTTTGGGCCAGGCAGAGGAGGTCATGCAATAGGTGGAGCTCATTGGCTGCTAGTTTAATCTCTTGCCCCTCCTCTGCCTTTTAAGTTACTGATGTTAGTATGTGGCCCATATATTTTTATTTTTTTATTTTTAGGCAATTGAGGTTAAATGACTTGCCCAGGGCCAAACAGCTAGTTAGTGGTGGCCCATATATTGATGGCCATATGTGATGCACATAGGATCTCATAAATCTTTTATTTTTTTTTAAGATAAATTTGACCTGTGTAATAACTATATTACTCACATTTACCTTTGTCTTGTAGCAATTTTAATTATAGTAGAAGTGTGTTAGCTCTGCTTATAAATTTACACATGTGTAATTACTATGTCAAAAATATGTGTTGAAATTTTTTCAAAAGGGAAGACTATGAATTACTTTTTTAAAACTTTGGAATGGGGCATTTTATTTTATTTTTAAATAATTTTATTTTACATTAATTTATAATCTGTTCCTCCCCCAATTGGACAGCAACAAAACCTGAATAAAATCCTCAGTATAAATATGCATAGTCCAGCAAAACAAATTCTCACATTGGTCATGCATGCCCCAAGATGTATATATCTCACTATATTTTTATGTTCATCACCTCTAGGGCAAAAGGTAAGTGGAGTGTTTCATTTTAAGTGTTTTAGACTCCATAGTGAATTGATCAGAATTTGCAAATCTTTCAAAGTTGCCCTTCTCTATAATGTTGTTCTTTTTTAAAAATTTTTTAATTAATTTATTTTTAGTTTTCAACATTCACTTCCATAAACTTTTGAGTTTTAAATTTTTTCCCACTCTCTTTCCACTTCCCTTCCCAAGATAGGGTGCAATCTGATATAGGCTCTACATACACATTCCTATTAAACATGTTTTCACATTAGTCATTTTGTTTTGTTTTGGGTTTTTTTTTTTGACTAGGCAATGGGGTTAAGTGACTTGCCCAGGGTCACACAGCTAGTGTTTTGTGTCTGAGGCCAGATTTGAACTTGGGTCCTCCTGAATCCAGGGCTGGTACTCTATCCACTGTGCCACCTAGCTGCCCCCACATTAGTCATGTTTTAAAAAAGAATTAGATCCTTGTATTGCTGAGAAGGGTTAGGTCTATCAATATTAGTCATCACACAACATGGCTGTTAACTCTGTACAACGTTCTCCTGGTTCTGCTCACTTCACTCAGCATCAAACCATACAAGTCTTTCCAGGTTTATCTGAAGTCTGCCTGTTCATCATTTCTTGTAACACAGCAGTATTCCATTACATTCATATACCACAGCTTGCTCAGCCATTCCCCAATTGATGGGCCTTCTCTCGATTTCCAATTCTTTGCCACCAAAAAAGAGCTGCTATAAATTTTTTGTCCATATGGATTCTTTTCCCATTTGTATGATCTATTTGGGATATAACCCTAGAAATGCTATTGCTGTATCAAAGGGTATGCACATTTTTATAGCCCTTTGGACATAGTTCCAAATTGCCCTCCAAAGTGGTTGGATCATTTCACAACTCCACCAACAATGCATTAGTGTGCCAGTTTTCCCACATCTCCAACATTTATCATTTTCCTGTTTTGTCATGTTGGCCAATCTGATAGGTGTGATGTGTTTACCTTAGAGTTGTTTTGATTTTCATTTCTCTGATCAATAGTGGTTTTGAGCACTTGTTCATATGACTATAGATAGTTTTAGTTTCTTCCTCTGAAAACTGCCTGTTCATGTCCTTTGACCATATAATGTTGTTCTTACTGTAAAAATTGTTCTCCTCGTTCTGCTCACTTTACTCTGATTGGCTTTGTAGGGGTCTTCACAGTCATTTCCCAAGCCACGGTAATATTGCATTACCTTCATATACCGTAATTTGTTTAACTTCCCCAATAGGAGTACAGCCTTTAATTTCCAGTTTTGAGGCTGCTGTGAAAAGAGCTGTCTTCAACATTTTTACACAGATGGTTCACTTTTTTCCTCTTTATTTGATCTCTTGGGTTATAGACGTAGCAAGTGTAGCTGGGTGAAAGGATATGCAGCATTTTAGCAATTTTGTCCGGATGGCTGGACAAATTCGCGCGTCCTTCAGCAGCTCCCTGGAGCGCATGTTTCCCCACAGGCCAGCTAGCGTTTGTCATTTTCCTTTTTTGTCATCTTTGTCAGTTTGATGGGCGTGAGGCAGAACCGCAGATTTGCTTTGCTTTGCGTTTCTCTAATTAATAATGATCTAGAACATTTTTAATAGTTATTGATAGATTAGATTTCTTCTTTTGAAAACGTCCTGTTTGTATCCTTCGGTAGATGTCACAGTGCGTAAAGCACTGGAGTTTGAGTCGGGAAGACCCAGGTTTGAATCCTGCTTCAGACATTTTGGATGTGTGACCCTGGGCAAAGTCACTTAACCTCTGTGTGCCTCGGTTCCCTCTTGTATAAAATGGGAATAATAACAGTATCTTCCTCCCAGAATTGTTGAAAGGATCAAATGCAGTGACATACATAAAGTGCTTTGCAAATCTTAAAGTGCTATCTGAAAGTTGTTACAGTTATTGTTGTTACTATTTACCTACTTGGGAATGAATATAAATTTGAATCAATTCCTTTTTTTTCCTTTTTTTAAAATTAATTAATATTTAGTTTTCAACATTCACCTCCGTAAGATTTTGAGTTTTAAATTTTCTCTCCCCCCCGCCCAAGATGACATGCAATCTGCATCAATTTCTTGGATACAAAACCTTGTGTCACAGAAGATTGCTGTAAAGATTTTTTTCTCATTTACCAGTCAGTTTTCCTTCTCATTTTAAGTACTAATAATAATAATTAGCATTTATATGACAGTTTTAAGGTTTGCAAAGCACTTTACATATATTAACTCATTTGATATTAGATACTAGATTTGTTTGTTCAAAAATTTTAATTGTATATGATGAAAATTGTCTATTTAATCTTGCCTCTCTCTTATCACTTGTTTAGTTGTGAACCTGTTCCCCTATTCATATGAACCAATTTTCCAAAGATTTGCTGATTCTTTAATTTTAGAATCTAGTAATTTCTGTGAGTGTACTAAGTGGCAGAATGGTCTCTAAGTGAATAGTTCTCTGAAAAATGAATTTCTGAATTCCTTCTCACTTGCAAAATTAGGCTTCCTGAAAAAGACTAATCTACTTAGTGGCTAGGGCTCATTTTTATGTGCTGTTTTTCATTAAGCTAGAGGATTCTTAAGCCTTTACTTTTATTTCTTTTGCCGCTTCATAGCATTTTATATTATTGAAAATTCTGGGGAATTGATTTTTTTTTCCATTTGAAAACTTAAGTTATGTTTAGTTTGTGTAATTTGTTTTTAAAAAAAGACCAACTGTCTAAGATCAGGCTCTGTATGAATAAATTTGACTGCCCATCTTAATAAAATGCTTGAATGATAGAATATTTTCCAAAAAATCCATTTTATTTGCATGTAAGTATAGTAATCCAAATGGTATAAAATGGTTCAAGTGGAAGTCCCATGCAGTTTGTTTTCCTGAGTAGTTTGAGAGGCTTGTTGGAACTTGAAGACAGACTTCAGAGATTGCATAGTCCAAGCCTGTTCTTTTAAAGATGAGAAGAATGAGCCCAGTAGAAGTTCAGTGACAGTCAGGTAGTAGCAGATCTATGACCCAGTCCAGGACTTTTGAGGGGGAAAGCTAACGAGGTCAGTTGTTTGTTTTTGTTTTTGTTTTGGTGAGGCATTTGGGGTTAAGTGATTTGCCTGCAGTCACACAGTTAGTAAATTTTATGTGTCTGAGACTGGATTTGAACTCAGGTCTTCCTGACTGCAGAGCTGGTGCTCTATCCACTGTGCCACCTAGCTGCCCCGCTAATAAGGTCAGTTTTGCATATGCTGAATGTAAGATGTCTGTTGGACATTCACTTTGAGATGTCTAGCAGGAAGTTGGAGTTTCAAAACTGTAAATCAGAAGAGAGATTAGGGCTGGCTGGATAAACAGGTATAGCATCTTTTGTGTAGAGATGGTATCTGAGTCCTGTGGAGCTGAGGAGATGACCATGTGGAATGAGAGAGGGAGAAGAGCAGAAGGCCCAGTCCAGTCTGAACTCAAGGCCTTGCCAGTTTGTTAAGGCCTGTTTTGACTTCCCTTCGTGAATTTCTTGATGAGCCATCGGAGCGGGAGTTTCGTGCATAGTGGGTACTTAATAAATGTTTTTCAAATGACAAGAATAGATTGTAGAGAGATAGAATTCAACCCAGCCAAGGTCAAATTATGAATCAATTATTTGACTTAATAGTGTGCTGTATTGTGTAACATATTAATGAAAATTTGCACTGTTTTTACTGACATAGAGTTATCATACTGGATTTTGGTTGGTCTCCATTTTAAAAGAAACTTATTTTGTGATAGAACTGAGATACAGAAGAGAAAGGTAACTCCCTTCTTTTTTTATATTCTACAGATTGGCAGCATACTTGTTTAACATTGACCTGCCTACAGCAGAGAAAGAATTTAATATATTCACTGCCAACCAGTGGTGGAAAAACTCTTGTAGCTGAGATTTTAATGCTTCAAGAATTGCTTTGTAGGCAGAAGAGTGTTTTGATGATTCTACCATATGTAGCTATTGTCCAAGAAAAGGTGAGATAACTTTTTTCTTCTTGTTCATTCTTATTTATTCCTATAGTAATGATAGAAATGAAGCTTATGTCATCTTGTATGTGTAATGTTTTCCTGACTGATAATCTATCAATATAAAATTGTCTTTTTTTCCCATTGTACTGTCATAGAGGGCACAATGGAGAGGAAAGGTAGAGGGGAATAGGGACTATGGGAGGGCTGCAGGATGTGGTGGTAGGTGATCATCTTTATTCTCCACCATCACTTGATCCTTCACTGGGGTCCTGCAAACTGAGTCTCCATGCCAGGTAACTGAAGATGAGTCACCTCAGCAGAAGGGTATGAGGGCCAGTGGGTCCTTCGAGGGGGCAACTTTGACTTTTGTCAAAAACTGGGGGAGTGAAACCCAATTAAATTGACATCTGGCGCTGGGAGGTTGTAACTTCAGAGCAGGTAGGAACTTGAGAGGTCCAACCCTCTTTCCCTCTGTCCTCCCGTGGCTTGGCACAGTGCTTGCTTCTTGGTGCTTAATAAATTCTTGTTGACTGATCTGTAACAAAGTCTCAGTCATCTTATGCTAGTTATTCTCTGGAGGTTATTGAGTCTCGAATTGTTGTTTGTCCTGAATTCTCGAAGAGGACCAATGACGTCAGGAAGGTGATGTCTTGAGTTTCAAAAGAATTGGGTTGAGGCAGAGCTGTGCAAAGTCTTCAGCCTCACTCTCCCACAGTCATGGGGTCCAGTGGCAAGACATAGGTCAGGACTAGGGAGACCTTGGCCTTTTTAAGCTAAGGTTTTTCCCAGGTCTTTAAATTGTCTGAGGCAATGCCCATTAAGTGATTTAAGGCTAGGCAAGAAATGAGGCAAAAGATAGCCTAGTTTGCCTACTCAAAAAAAAATCAATCTGGAAGGGGAAGACCCTCAGGGTTTCTGGCCAGAACAGAAACAGTTGCCATTAGAACCCAAACAATGAGGAGAGGAGGCTTGGGCTGGGATCTGTTATTGGCCAGGAGATGAAAGCTAGAGTTATTTGGATTTAAAGGCATGGTCAGGTAGCTCCATTTGAATCCCAGTAGGCTTTATCAAAGCTTGTTTGAGAAATCATCTTGAGTAGACTTGAATTGAACTGCTACATACCTAACAGAGAGGAATCAGTTCTTTTTTTCCTTCCTAGGAATCCTCAAACTTCTGGTTTTAGATAAGCTTGGTCTTTATTTATTTGTCTGTCTATTTATTCATTAGAGAAATTTTGTCCATTCCTGGGGAAGGTACAGTCTGTCTTCCTGGAGTAATAGCAATTACAGTGCAAAGAGTCCTAGAGGGAGACCATTTGACACATCTGCATCCTTTGATTCAGGAGCCAGTTCTTCTTTATTTCCCTTCTTCTAGAGACAAGAGAAAGCAATTGAACAATGCCCGAATTTATAGAAATTGAGCCAGAAGTTGGCCTAAGCTGTTTTTTACCCCTGTTCTCTATTTGTATTCTGGAATCAAATAGTCCCCTTAAACGTAATGCCTCATGGGGCTGCTTATCTGTGAATTGTTGCTAGGTAATTAGCATCTCTTTGAAATCCTTCAACCCCAGTGAAGAACAAAGCTCAGCCAGTACAGCCCAGTGGACCTCATCTGGTCTTTGGGGATTGGCTGAAGGACATTCTAATATGGAGCTCTGGATTTAGAGTGAAGCTTGTTTGTTGCCAGTGGACCTTTTTCTAAGCAATTTTGTGAAGAATATGTCTAAACAACTTATTTTGGAAAGTCTTAAAGTCTCTTCTAAACTTCAGAATTTAAACTTTCTCTTAAAATATACACCAAGTGGTTTCTTAAAGTTTCTCTTTATCTTGCAAAGACTATCACGTTGATTTTTTTGATGATGTTACTTGTCTTACTTCAGGTTAAGTTTCCACACATTTTTAGTTTGTGTCTTAGTGAGACTATATATGGGCCCTTAGTTTTCTTAATTAACATTTTGAAACCTAACATTTGCTGCAGATTTCAAGCTTGTCAAGTTTTGGAGTTGAGCTGGGTTTTCATGTTGAAGAATATGCTGGAAGTAAAGGGAGATTTCCTCCAATTAAAAGAAGAGGAAAAAAATCTTTGTATATTGCTACTATTGAAAAAGCACATGGTCTGGTCAACTCATTAATTGAAGATGGAAGAATTAATGAATTGGGTCTAGTTGTCGTAGATGAGGTTTGTTAATACTTTCCTAATTTATTAGAAAGCATTATTAGTAATTTTAAAAATGATTTCCTCAGAGCTATATATAGATCTCTCCAGACTACAGCAAAAGAAATACCAAATATATCATATATATAACATACATATGTGTGTGTGTGTGTGTGTGTGTGTGTGTGTATAGATATATAGATAGATAGATTTTTTTTTTTTGCTTTTTTGGTGAGGCGATCAGGGTTAAGTGACTTGCCCAAGGTCACATAACCTAGTAAGTATTGAGTGTCTGAGACTGGATTTGAACACAGGTCCTCCTGACTCCAAGACCATAGCTCTATTCACTGCTCCACCTAGCTGCCCCATGTCATATATTTTTAAGATGCCCTTATTCTTAATTCGTAATCCTCTCTGTATTGGATTTGTATTGGTTACTTGCTGGACATTATCTAAATTATTAAGAAAAGTTTTATTGATGACTTTTTTTAAGTATCAAAGGCATTTTTTCTTATACTCCTTTCCCCGTCCCCATCAGTGAATCTTCCGTGTAACAAAGAACACCAGTTAAGCCAATCCAGCTAACACGGCGACCACACCACGCAGTGTTTGCAGTATTCCACATCTGTAGATGCCCATCTCTATCAAGAGAAGAGGGGTGTGTTTTCTCACATTCTTTTCAGAGCCTAGGACTGTCATTATTCAGTGATGGCCTCTGTTTTATTCTCTCAAGTTCTATAATTTATATAACTCTGTAGATTGTTTTCCTAGTTCTGCTTATTTCACTGTAGCAGATCCTACTAGTCTTGTCATGTTTCTCTAAATCAGGGGTGGGGAACCTGTGGCCTCGAGGCCACGTGTGGCTTTCTAGGTCCTTGGGTGTGGCTTTTTGACGGAGTCCAAGTTTTACAGAACAAACACTTTTATTAAGGGGTTGTGTTGCATGAAGTTTGGGTTCAGTCAGAGGGCTGCACTTGAGGACCTAGAGGGCCACATGTGGCCTCGAGGCCACAGGTTCCCTACCCCTGCTCTAAATTCTTTGAATTCATCATTTCTTTTAGCACAATAATATTCCATTATGTGTATGTACTGCAGTTTGTTCAGCCATTTCTCAATCTATGGGCACATACTTTATTGTTAGTTCTTTGTTACCACAAAACCTGTTGCTATGAATATTTCACTAAAAAATTGTCATAGACTTAAAAGAATACAATAACAAGTTCTGAGGAAAGATCCCTAAAGTCTTGTTGTCCCTAAAGGTTCTTAATTTCCCACTGACAATATACATACTAGAGTTTTAAATTAGAGTTATACATTCATTTTATGTAAATACTATAAAAACCATTTTATCAGAAATATATTTAACACTTTTTTTTTTTTTTGCTTCACAGTTGCACATGATTGGTGAAGGAAGCCGAGGAGCTATACTGGAAATTACCCTAGCAAAAATTCTTTATACCAGCAGTAAGTATTTTATGAATTGTGGTTGTTATTTCAATGAATAGAGAATTGCATTAGAAATCAAGACACGCATATAGAAGAATCCCAACCCTGCCACTGACAAGCTGTGTGACAATGGACAAATCACATAACTACTCTGTTTTCCAGTTTACAAAATTCACATTATAGCTGTGCACCACATACATTTGTTGTGAGGATAAATGAGGTAAAACATGTGAAAGTATAGAAAGTAAGCCATTATTTTTTAAGAAATAAACTTTATCTGGCAGTGCGTAAAAAAAAATAATCTTCATCCACGTGTCTGATGCACCTCTCTGTTAGGCAGACTCATCCCTGATTGCACTGCACTTGTGTTTTCTGTTTCTTCATTGCTGACTTTGCCATTCTTCCCTGGCGAGGCATCTCTTGGCTGTCTCTATCAAAGCTTTACCACGGCTGCTGCTCTCTGTTTTCAGCTGTTGTTGCTTTCTTCTCTCTGCCTTGTCTGCTTCTCATAGTCTGTGGCTTCTTCATCTCTTCCTCACTGTCATCAAACCAAATTAGGCATTTATTTCAATTACAGACTTTTGAAAGCAACTCATTGTATTCCTCACATCATGTTATATTTACAGAAGTAAAAAAATAAGTATCTAAAAGACTTAGGAATCTTGACAAGGATTATGGCATGAATGTGAAACTATTAGGGATATGTCCATGTTACAAAACTCTAATAGGAAATCACATTTGAAAATATAACAGCACTTCTTGTTTCACACTTAGTTTTCACACATTCAATAACACACTTGGAAAATTACATAAAACTGGTAATACTTAGATTCCTTTATGTGTTGTGTTCCTTTATCATGGCATTAATGAGTTTTCACAACTTTCAAAATTTGTTATTCTCTAAAGCTGTGTTTGCTGTATATGAAAAATTGCTCATGTTATAGTATCTAACAGACAAAATCAAAGAAAAGTAAAATCGATTTGGGCACTGTTCCTTCCAGAAGGGCATGGCTGAATAGGACCCTTCACAGTATGAAGGGAGATGCCTGGCATCAATGTAGTCCTGCAGGGAGATGTTCTTGACCTATGTGACATCTGTGTTTCACTTGGCCATGGAACTTGATGTCAAAGGACCTTTGTCACTGTGGGCACTCTATGTCACACTCAGTCTTGTCAGTTCATGCTGGGCATGGGCTTGGTTTCGTGGCTGCCTTTGCTCTACATACCGTAACAAGAAAAGACCACCATTAATTAATTTACAAAGCTCTCTGAATCTGTAAATGTAAAACACTGCAAGCCTTTAAGCTCTGTATAAATTTAAGTATTATTAATCTTATTCATTGTAGGTATAAATAATGTATGTTGCAATAACTGGTTTTAATGATGAGCATGGAAGAAGTTAAATTATATTCCATATACTTTGTTTAAAAAGCAGGAAATAGGAATACATTATGCAAAGTTTTTCATCAAAAGGAATATGTTAAAACCTCAATCTAGATGATAGAAATATTCCTACATTTTGTTTCTTTCTTCAGGAATCAGTCATGTGGTAGCACGGCATAGAATAGCTCTTTAAACTCAGTTTGACAATTTTTCTAAACATACTGAATAATGTTTTTTCCCCTCAATTTTTTTTCAGAAACAACTCAAATCATTGGCATGAGTGCAACATTAAATAATGTTGAAGAACTACAAGAATTCCTGAAAGCCGACTATTATACTAGTAAATTTAGGCCAGTACGTGTTTAAGGTTTTCATTTTATTAAACAAGACTATATTCACTTAGAGTTTGGCATATGTTATGATTTGAGTATTGGTAATATAGTAACGTATAAAGGGAAAAGGGAGGCAACAAAGAATTGTCCCATTAGGAGCTGTTCTCCTGTGGTCTTTACTCTGACACTGTCATACATCCTCTCTCATTTCTATTCCAACACCATTGGATTGTAAATTCAATCTTGAACCCTCACCTTGCTTAGGGGTCAGAATTTTCTATTATGATCATCACTGAAAGAATCCCAGGAAGCTCCCTGCCTTTTAAGGTGGCCTTTTGTGAATTGGGTGCTTCCTATTTGAGGGCTCCCAGAAGAGTGGAACTGTCCTAGGGACCCCAACAGGTTCCATCTACCTGTCAATGGAATCACCTTTACTTAATCTGGACGTGCCCATAAACATTTGCAAGTATGATCAGAATGTCTATTGAGGAATCTGCAGGTGGTATCATTTAGTGATGTTTAGAAACTCCACAGTCAGTATAGGATTTTTGTCAAACCCCTAATTATGGAAACCAAAGATGTACTTGTGGAAGAGAGAACACTCATAAGTTCTTATTTTCAGATACTTATATGAAGTACTTTACCAGGAGAATGGAGGGGTGGGGGGAGGTAACATTTCAGTTAAAATGTATGTACTTATTTTTACTCTGCTTTTCATTTTAATTTTTTTTGAGTGGTATTTGGCAGAAAACTGGTGCAGATTATTTAGCTTGTCAGTGTGTGAAGAAAGCAGTATTTTGACATAAGCCTGTATAGTTGTAATGCATTTTCTGAAGTAAATTTAGACTTCATGTGGTTTTGAATTTAATTCTCTTCTAGACTGTCATCTTAAATACATTTGAAGAAATTACACAGACATTTTATTTATTTTTATTTGAAAATAATACTTAGTGCATATACATGGTATCCCAAAAGTCTTATTGCAGTTTTACATTTGAGCAGCTAAAAATAGCACTTGGACTTTTGGGATAGGTTGTATTATTGTCTTTTTTCAAAATTTTCTCTAATATTAGTACCTGAAGGGTAAGAAGCTAGCAATTTTCATTATCTAAACAGGTTCAAAAAATTTTATTCAAAATAAATGGGATTACATTTCCTACAGTATATTATTTTTGTATAAACGTGAGCATTATCAAATTTGGCCATTTTCAGAAAACAGTTCATAATGATCATATTGTTTACTAAAGACATTTTGTCTGTATTTATAAAAGTTTTTTGCCCCCAAACAATCACATTAATTTAAACACATTAAATTAAACACTAAATAGCGTACTAAAATACACACACACACACGAAACAAAATAATCCTAAATTTTGAGGGGAAAACTGAAAAAGTTGCCAGAGCAATCTTCTTAATGATCAGATCTGACCACATCACCACCCTACTCGAATTTCAGTAACTCTGTTACCTTAAATGTAAAATTATTTATTCTGCATTTAAATCCCTTCACAACTGGGCCCATTACAATCTTTTCAGGTTTTTTTTACTTTACGGAACTGTACTATACTATACCTTCACTATGTTATAGTCCAGCCACGTCAGCCTGCTTACTGGTCCTCATACATGAGACTCTGTCTCTGAACTCTGCCTTTCACTGGCTCTTTCCCCATATTGGAGTGCTGTTGCTTCTCGTCTTCACGAAGCTCTAGGCTTCCTGACCTCCTTCAAATCTCAATTCAGATTTGACCTATTGCAAGAGAGCTTTACTGGTTCCCTCCAATGCCAGTACCTTCCCTTTCAGATTACCTGATATTTACATGGTATATATCTTACGTGGACATAGTCATTTATATGTTCTGTTCCTTGTTAGACTGTGAGCTCCTTGAGGACAGGGACAGTGTTTTTGCCTTTCTTTGTTTCCCCAGCCTTAGCATAGCACATGACATATTGCAAGTGTTGAAGAAACGCTTGTTGAATTAAGACTTTTTTTTAAGGATGGAGACAAATGAACTTTTTTATAAGTAGTGGGGAAAGAGATAGTGGTGGATTAGGAGAGGTTGAAGGTAAGAGGAAAAGAATAAGATCGGGGTCCAACTACTAGTAGTAATAGGAACCAAGGCAGCACTTTGGAGTAGTTAACTTGGACGAGGAGAGACTCTGCCTCTTTATCAGAACCTAGAGCATATATCTACTTTCAGAGAGGTGATGAATTCTGAGTACAAATTGAAGTATAATTTTTTTCACTTTCTTTATTTTTCTTGCCTGTTTTTCTGTAATATGATTAACATAGAAATGTTTTACATAATTTCACATGGGTAGTTGATATATTGCTTGCCTTCTCAATGGGTGCAGGAAGGGTTGGAAGGAGAGAATTTGGAACTCAAAATTTTAACAAAATCAATGCTAAAATAAATAAATAATTAATTGAATTTTAAAAAAGAACATGAACCATAGAAAATAATAAGACCTAAGGAGAGGTGAAGTTTGGCATATACACTGTGGATAGTGTGATAACATTAATTAGTGACGAATAAAATGATAGCCATTTACCAGTACACATATGAGATTATATGTTTACATATATGTATATGTGATACATATATACACATACATATATATATGGTTATATGTTATATTAAGTGTCTATACTTTTAAAATTCCAGGTCGAGTTAAAAGAATATCTGAAAATAAATGATACTATCTATGAAGTTGACATCAAAGCAGAGAAAGGCTATACTTTTTCTCGTCTCCTTAAATGCAAGGTAATGTTGATCGTCAGAGATTTAACAGTGGATGTTTATATTGTAAATTGTGAAATTGTGTGTTCTTTAATGCAAATGTTGATACAAAAAAAGTAAACATGTGTCTGTGTGAAAATGTATTGAAGACTGCATTTTATTGTTGGTTTTAAAGAATATTAAAATAGATATTCACTGAATTGGATTTCAGAATTTTTGAAAGGTGGTGTTTTGAAATTAGCATTGGCTTTTTTCTTTAATTTCTCTTGTGAAAAAGTCCATTTAGAAATAGTTTTTAAAAGAATTTAATTGTCAAGTAAATTATAATTTAAGAGAAATGAAGGAATTTGTACACTGTATAGGCATTTTTCTGTTTTATCAGCCTTCAGTTAACACAGATGGAAAAGGTGAAAGAGTATGACAGTGCTGATGTTACTACTAACTAAGGCTGTTTTTTATTCTTTTACAGTATTCTGATAATCTCAAAAAGATGGATCCTGATCATTTAGTTGCTTTGGTGACTGAAGTTATTCCCAATTATTCCTGCTTGGTTTTTTGTCCCACTAAGAAAAACTGTGAAAATGTAGCAGATATGATATGCAAGTTTTTGAATAAGTATGTTAATATTTTTAAAAATATATTTCCCATGTTATTTCTATCTCAGATTATATCATTATTTTTATTTTATGAAAATGCTTGACTTAGGAATGAACGAAGAAGCTTTTGTCAAGCACATTTATTATGTGCCGAACACTGAGGATATAAAATTAAAAGAAAAACAGCCCCTACCCTCAAAGAGCTTGCATTTTAATAGAAATCAACACATATTAACAACTCTAAGTTGGCTCGGAAGGGAATTTTGTTTTGGAAAGTCAGTGTGATGATGGTGAATGGAGCCTCAGAGTGGTGGATTAACATGCCATTTCCAGTAGCAATATCAGAATTATTTCTTTGATTATGGCTTCAGAACTGGACAGGGTAGGGTAGAGTAGAGGGTAAGAGTGCAGCAGTGCTACTGACTAGAAGATGGCCAGGTTGTAAGTGGAAGGCTGGTTGTGGCCACATGAGTATTTGGGCCACGTGAGATACTCTGGTCTGAGAGTGCAGTGGCTGGAGAGAAGATAAATGAGATATAAGGGTTAAATCCTATCTGTACATCCTATATTTCTGCCTTAAGCATCATACTTTATAACTGGAAAAACTTTAATAATTTACTTTTTTATCATCTGCCATAAAAGTCCACTCCAGTGTCTAATTGTAGTATGGAGGTGACCCTGAGTTCTTTCAGTTTTTTTAGGCAGTTGGGGTTAAGTGACTTGCCCAAAGTCACACAGCTAGTAAGTGTCAAGTGTTTGTTCTGAGGCCGGGTTTGAACTCAGGTCCTCCTGACTTCAGGGCTGGTGCTCTATCTACTGCACCAAGTAGCTATCCTCGTGACCCTGAGTTCCTAAAGGTTATGTCAGCTGAGCATGCTTATGGAAGGTTCTAGCAAGCTGGGAAATCTTTTGAGTATGGGCCTAACAAAGCAGTTGTGCCAGTGGATAAACTGTATTTCAGAGGGTGTCCTCACCAGGCAGTGAATAATTTTTTCAGATATTGAAACTAAGATAATGTATTAAGGCATAGAGGAATTCCAAGCTGTGTCATTGAGGAGTGTGCCAGTATCATTGAAATCATGAATATTTGAAGTGCTGAAGTAAGTATTTACACGCTCACGTGAAAGTCACTGAGGGGCACAAAGAACACAAAACTTGGAATTAGGAGTTACTGAAGACTGAAAATAATTAAAATTTATCGTAGCTCACACTATTGAAAATACATCTGTATCCATATATGTTAAGTGATTTTCATGGACATTGTATGTGTGGATATAATATCTATGAAAATGACCGGTCACGTCAGCAAGCATTTATTAAAGGGAGGGGAAGATGTAAGAAGAATGGAAAAGTAGGAGGGAACCACGTTATGAAGTACTTTGAATGCTAAAAAGAATTTTATAGTTGATGCAAACGATGATAGGGCGCCACTGGAATTATTGAGTAGAGGGGTAGTGTAGACCTGCAGTTAGAAAGATCACTTTGACAGCTGACTGGAAGAGGGGCAGGAGTGGGCAGGCTCCTGTCGGGCAGACCCACTCTCAGTCTGCTGCAGTAGCCCAGGCAGAAGTGATGAGGGCTTAAACCAGAAGGTGGCTTAATTGAATAGGATTATAATAATATATTAACATTAGCATGTTATGTTAATGTTATTTGTATGTTGTTGTTATCATAAAGTGACATGGCAGTGTTTGGTGGCTCAGGGAGCATAGTGAGGTAGGAAAAGTAGGAAGGGGTGAGGTTAGAAAGGTATTTAAAGTCAAACAGGAGTTTATATTTGATCCTGGATGTGATAGGGAGGCACTCGAGTTTATTGAAAATGGCCGTGATCAGATATGAATCTGGGGGTTAGGGTCAGAGAAGTGGATCTGAGAATCATCAGCATAGAGATAACAATTGAATCCTTGGGAGCTGATGAGATCACCAAGTGGAGCAGTATGAAGGGGAAAGCAGACAGGGCCCAGGACAGAGCCTTGGGAGTCACTCGTCCCCTTGGAGGAAGATATAGCAAAGGAAACTGAGAAGGAACAGTCCAACAGGTAGGAGAGAACCAGTAGAAGGAAGTGTCGTGAAAACCTAAAGAGTAGAGAAGGTCAAAGAGAAGAGGGTGATCTGATCAGCAGTACCAAATGGTTGCAGAGAGTTGAAGAGGAATGAGGATTGAGAAGAGAACGTTCGATTTGCCAGTTAATGTTGGAGAGAGCAATTTCAGTTGATTCAAGGGGTCAGAAGAGAATCTCAGGGTTGTTTTAAAGCAGTAGGAAAAGAATTGACAGGATGATGTTGAATAGAGATAGAGGGGGTGATCAAGGGTACGATCTGGAAAAAATGGAGGGGATGGGATCAAGTCCCCGTGTAGGAGATGGGTCACTTCTTTGTTAGAGTCTATGGGAAAGAAGAGAATGGGAGAAGAAGATGGCCTAAATCTTTTCACTAAAGTAAGGGGAAAGTGTTCTGCTGAGAGAGGAGAGGAAGGGAAGGTGTGGGGAACTCCATTCAGGAATGATCCGAAGATTTGGAATGGCTTCTCTGGAGAATAATAGAGAATCATTTAGGGAGGAATAAAAGGAGACTTTAATGCCACGAGGTCCCAGTTAAGTTTGTTTAACATGAATTTGTAAAGTACCAGTCAGTATTTTGTGCTTTTTCCTCCAGTTTCGTTCAGCAGTTGTAGAATAGGAGCAGAGGAAGTGGATGATGGGAGTAATCTGGGGCTGAGTATGTCGAGAGAAGAGCAGTGCTAAGAGAAAGGAAAAAGCAGTTGATGAGCAGGGGTAAGGGCAGAGTTGAAATGACAGACCATTGACCTAAAGTTGGAGAAGGTTGAGATTGGTCAGAGTAGAATTAATGTCCTGAGAAATTATAAGGGATGGAGGGAATGGAAGTCTTAATAAGAGTGAACAGGTGTGTAGGAGGGGTGAAGCTTCAGGAGAGGTGAAATTAGGTGATTGTGATCAGATGGAATAATGTCGGTGTTTCTAATTAGGGAAGTGGAACATTTGCAGTTAATGCCAACATCCGGTCCATGACCACCCATATTGGTGGAGTAAAGATATAATAGCACGTAAAGATATGGAGGAGATGGGATATGAGGAAGTTTGAGGGAGCATCTACATGTATATGAAAATCTTCTAGTACAGGAGTTAAGAAAAGAAGATGGTGAGCCAGGTGAACTCCTGCAGAAAGGAAGAAGAAGAAGAATGACCTGGACATTATTGTACTATAGCTACCCTAATTTTGATTGAGTGGACAACTTTCTTAACTCGCATTTCATATAGGGTAAATGGAGCGATGGTCTATTAATCCATGCCATTTAAGTTGAGTGTAACTGTTCATTTTGTCTTTTGAGGTGAACATGTACCTTTCCTATGCCTATGCTTTTTGCCCTTTTGAGTATCATAGTCGCCCATATTGTAAGGTGGCTTCAGCACTTGTCTGCTTCTCTCTTTAAAGGCGACGGTACTCTGTTTTTCATTATGTCATAACTTGTTATTGGGAAAGAGGAGAGAATTTACTATATGCAAATTGTTAAAAATGTACTGATAAGTGTACCTTTATCATGACACTCATTAAGAACATCCTATACCTTCAGATATACATGTGGTTGTAGATGATAAATAGAAGTGTCAGGAAGTGTTGTGTTTTTAGATGTTTGCTTGTGGTGACTGGTGCTCAGGGGCAGTGGCTTTGACATGAAAGAAGAGGAGTTTAGCTTTGTTTTTTGCCTCCTTTTAGGGTAGAGATGTGGGAGGGTAGTATATGTAGTCATCTAGTCTGTATGATTTAGAATATGATTCTAAAATATATGTGTATTCATTTATTTGGGAATGTTTGTGGTAACATCTTAAGCAAAATACTACCACATGAAGATTTAAGATTTGATAAAGTTGTATCAATAATGCCTAAAAAACTACTATCATCATCACAACAAGTCAGATTCTATCCGTCTCACTCCCTGTGTGACCTTGGCCAGATCATGTGACCTTTCTGGTCCTCCCTTTCTTCATCTGTGAAATGAGAGGGTTGGACTACATTGAGATCCTTTTCAACCCTAAGTCTTTGATAGGAACTAGATTTCTAAAAAACAGTTTGCATTTGTCCATCAGTCAGTCAGTAAACATGTAGTAAGTGCCTGCTTTGTGGCAGGCGCTGGGCTGAGTGCCAGAAAGACTGTAAGACCTCATGGTCAGATGGCTAGATCATCATTCAGCTGTTTTCCCTGGCTCTGATGAAAGTGTAGTAAAAGAGATGCCTGGTGAAATCAAAGTTTTACATTTCTAACAGATTTTTTTTGTAGGGACTATCTAAAACACAGGGAAAAAGAAAAATGTGATTTCCTTAAAAACTTGAAGAATGTCAGTAATGGCAGCCTGTGTCCTGTTCTCAAGCGCACCATTCCCTTTGGAGTTGCTTATCACCATAGTGGCCTGACTAATGATGAAAGGAAGATCTTAGAGGAAGCTTATTCCACCGGGGTCCTTTGCCTTCTGACTTGCACTTCGACCTTAGCAGCTGGAGTGAACCTACCAGCACGAAGGTTGGTGAAGTGTTTGTTGACTAGTCTTTTCCAGGCGGTGTCTTTTATATATTTAATATTAAGATACAATAAATTAACGTATCAAAACTTTAAAAGCATTTTCTCAAGTTTTTTTGACTTGATCATTTGTTGAAGTAAACTTAAGATACAATATTTAATTAAAATGAAGGCTCATACTTAAAATGCCCCCCCAGATTTTTAAAAAATCCATTTTATTTATGTTATTTGTTTGTACATTGCCTACATTTCCCACTTAACCTCTTCCTATTACTTTCCCCTACTACTCCTAGAGAGCCATCCTTTATAATTCAGAAATAAAAGGGAAAAAGAAGCTCAGCTAAAGTAACAAACATGGAAAAAAAATCTGACGTTGTATGTAATGTTCCATACCTACATACTCTCACTTCTGCAGAGAAAGACTGAGAGGTATTTTTTGATCCTGCTTGTTTTGAGGAAAGCATGGTCATCATAATTTCAGAGTATTTAGTTTCTGTTCTTTTGTTCAGAGGTGTCAAACTCAGTCTACAAAACTCCCAATTTAAATGTAATTGGGAAATGTTTAAAAAAAAATGCAACATAAATAATGTTAATTTGTGGTTTTCTAAGCCAGTATGCAGGATTATCTGTTTCAGTGGTTTGACACCACTTTTGTTGTTCATTCCATTTTCATTGTTATTGTATACATTGTTTTCCTGATTCTAATTACTTTATATTAGTTTTTTGAAGAATAGTAATATTCCATTACATTTATGTGCTACGTTTATTTAGCCATTCTCCGATCGGTGGATATATTTCCTGTTTCCTGTTCTTTGTTTCCTGTTCTTTGCCACCACAAAAAATACTGTTACAAATATTTTGGTTGTATCTGAGGCCTTTCTTCTTTGTCATTGACCTTTTGGGGGTTATATCTCTTTCAGCGGAATCTCTAGGTCAAAAGATACGGAGATTTTAGTCACATTTTTTTTATAGTTCCAAATTGTTTTCCAGAATGGGTGGATCATTTTATAGTTCCACCAGTAACAAAAGCCTTTTCTTCTACAACCCTGCTAACATTGGCTGTTCCCAAATTTGCCAATTTATTGGATTGGATTTGAGGTGAAACATCAGGGTTATTGATTTGCATTTCTTTTATGCATCAAGAGAAAGAATATGTATAATGCTCTTTTCAAACCTTGAAGTACTGTATGAATGTTGATTATTAGGGCTAAATATAGGGATTTCAGCCTGTCTTTCCATTGACAGAGGAGAGGGAGCTTTTAGTGAAGTAACTCATTCTGTCAGTGCAGGTTGGCACCATGTCTGCAACTTAATAGTCTTAAGAGAGTTGCCTAGGGCACCGAGTGGTTAAATAACTTGTCCAGGGACCCATAGCCACTGTATGTCAGAGGCAGTACTTGAACCCAGGTGTTCCAAAGCTCTGCGTTCAAGTCCCACTTCTGACACTTAACAGCTGTGTGATCTTCTATTCTAGAAACGGTGCTGACCTGCATTAGTAGAGGAAGTCTAGTCATCATTCCCTAGACCTCTGAAATCGCAGGTCCGGTGCCTAAAATTTATTATTAGTGATTTGGAACGTTATTATGTTTATTAATGGTTTACAGTTCTTTTTTGGGGAATAATTTATTCATATTCTTTGACCACTTATTTAAAGGGGAGTGTTTTTTGTTCTTACGTATTTCTGTTAGTTGTCTTTTTATCTTTTATATCGTACCATTATCAGAGATATTTAATATGAAGATTTTCCCCAATCATCTGCTTTCCTTAACTTAGTTTCATTAATTTTGTTCATGTATAAAAAACCTTCTAATTTCATGGAATGAAATGATCTATTTTATTTTTTGTAATAGATTCTCTTCTTTGCTTAAGAATTTAGCCCTACCTTATGCTTTCTAGTGGGGTTGTGTGTGTGTGTGTATGTGTATGTGAGATATTTACTATTTGACTCAAATATCCAGTTTGAATTTTATACAGACTTGTGAGGAATATAAGCATCTTTAAAAAACAAAAAGATTGCTCTACAGTCAGATGTAGTTGCTTTTGTCAGTTTTACTTAATCGATGTTCCTTGTTGCAACTTCATTGGATAACATATTGGAAAGATGGCTAGCATGCAAAAAACAAAAAAGAATAAAACTTAAATATTGCTGCTAATAGCAGGTAAAAATTATATATTAATGCATTTATCTGATTCCATAGAGTTATTTTGAGAGCACCTTATATTGCAACACAATTTTTAAAGAGGAATCAGTATCAACAGATGATTGGCAGAGCTGGTCGAGCCGGAATAGATACTGTTGGTGAAAGTATCCTTATATTACAAGAAAAAGACAAGCACCTGGTAATGTAGACCATTGTCCTTATGTGTAGAAATTTCTTAGGTGTTGAGATCCTGATCCAAAATCTTTTCAAGTTTTTCTATTTTAGAATAATTCAAATTAGTATTTACTAATGTTTTCTTTATATCAAGTGTGATAGATTATTTTTATTTTTATTATTTTTACCTGCTCTATAGGCAGGTTATGAGATTCTATTTTTGAGATTCATAAATATCTAGTTATATTTGATTCCATAAGGTATTTATCAAAAATTCATGAGTATCAAATACTTTTTGCTTTCCTTTAAAAAAAAAAGTAGCACTAGAATTTCTTAGCTAGCACTGTAATTTCTATGATAAAATTAAATGAACACTAAGTGTAATGTAGTTTTATTTTATAGGTACTGGATTTAGTAAACAGTCCTCTGGAGAACTGTTATAGCCATCTTGGGCAAGAAATCACAAAAGGAATCCAAAGTTTGCTCCTGTCATTGATTGGGCTAAAGGTATATATATGAAATTTTTTACCAACTAATTCAAAATTTTGATATGGAAGTCCTTTCCCATTGAGTACTGGTACTTACCCATTTTTTTATTCATTCCTTATTAAACTGTGGAGTTTGAAAATGCAGGAAACTATAGGCAAGTGATTTGATTTTAATTCCCTGGCAGATTTCTAGAATTTGCTATTAAAGTGAAAGAAAACACTTAATAATAATAAGTGATAGACACTTAATAGAAGTCTGTCGATTGGGGAATAGCTAAAGAAATTGTGGTACATGAATATAATAGAATATTACTCCACTGTGAGAAATAATGAAGTTGAAGAATTCAGAGAAGTGTGAGAAGGCTTATCAAATGAAGCAGAGCGAAATTAGAACCAGGGAAACCACTGAGGGCTCGGCAGCAACTGTGTAAATGAAAAGAACAAAAGGCCCCAATTGAATGCTCTGGAATTATAGTGATTAAGCTTGTCTCTGGAGACATCAGACATTGGACCTCCTTCCTCTCTTTGTTGAGATAGGAGACCATGGGCATGGAATATTGCATATTCTGACTGACTTGGTTAATTATTGATTAGTTTTGCTCAACTTTTTTCGTATTTCTTTTTTATTCTTTGTTACAGTAGACTGCTTGCTGGTTAGGGTAGAAGGAAAGAATATATTTGGAAATGAAGGTGATGTAAAAGCAAAAAATATCAATAAATGTCTTTTCAAAAATGTTGTGGAAATATTGTTAACAAAAGGAAGTGTTGATCACAGAGGGATAGTGTGACTTCATCAAGAAGTCATACTATATAAATGTCTTTTAAAAAAAAAATTGCAAGGAGAATTGATACTTTCGAACAAAAGGAAAACCTCATCTAAGAACTGAATATTCTCAAAATTGGAGTGGGCCAGAGAAAAAAAGTGACTCAATAAGAAAACAAGATATATTAAAACAAAAGCAAAAGTTTGGGGAAAAAAAAAACTCAAGAAAATGTAAGAAATATTCTGTCACAAATCTCTGACTAGTATAATAGGATAAGGAAAGATAATTTGAATTATCAGATTATCTGAAAATCCTGACCAAAACAGGTCCACATTGCATATTTCAATAAGTTATAAATAAAAACCCTTCAGAATTCTCAGAACCTGAGGACAGAATGAATTAGAAAGAATTCACTATTCATCTCCTGAAAGAAACACCAAATCTAAACTCCTAGAAACATCATAGCCAAAATCTAGAGATTTTAAGTAAAAGAGAAAAATATTAGAAAACAACCAGAAAAAAAGAGTTAAGTACAAGGAGTCATAGTTAGCATCACACAATACTTGGTGTCTTTCACAGCAAAGGAGGGGAGCGCTTGTAATACAGTGTTATAAAAGGCAAAAGTTAAAGTCTTACAACCAAGGATAACCCAGCCAGCAAAAGTAAGCATACTCCTACAAGGGGACCATAGGCTTTCACAGCACACCTAAGGTCTTAAGAACCCCAGACTCAATCCACCAGTGTCTCATTTCATTCCAGTCTCAAATCTGAACTAAAACTTGGTGGTATATCAGACCAGACCTACAATAGATCTGATTAAGCTCTAAACATTATGAATGTTTAATGGTAGGATTAAGTCTTAGGGAAGGGATTAAATGGTAGAAAGAGGAAGATGGGAATGAGAAGAAGTGTGGGGGTGGGAGGTAGGGTGGAGTTTAAAAGTGGTAAAAATACAACCAATAATTACTTGCATTGCCCATAGTAACAAGTTGCTCATACCTGTTTTGTATGAATGATTTTAAGCACAATTTATCAAAGATAGTTTTATGAAAATAATTAGAACCATTGTGTCAATGAAAAAGTAGAGTAGAATGACCAGAACTGATCATAGCAACTGAAAAGGATTTTGGGTTTTGTTTGATTTTATTTTGTTGCTTTTGGGAGGACAGAGGAGGTTTTGGGAAGTTCCTGGTGTGGAAATTCCCTCCATTAATACACACTGGCACCTAAACTGTAATTAATAATTTTGGAGGGTTGATTAAACAGAAACTGGGTAACTTGTCCATGACCGTACAGCTAGTATGTATTGGAAATAGGACTTGTACCTAGGTCTTTCTGACTCTAAGACCAGCCTTCTTTCTACTAGATCATGATACTTCCCTTTGAAGCTCCCGTTACAAAGTTAATAAGACTAAGCCTGATGAATATTTTCTTCTAACAGGATTTTTCATTTTTCTTTTGTTTTAATATTTTAAAACCTATCTTCATCTGTCTTATGCAAGTTTCTTGTTCAAGTCATACTCATGAATAATGTGTATTCTACCTTTGTATGTTGATGTTGTGATGTTAATTATTCATTTAATTTCCAAACTTTTTCAGATAGCAAGAAACCTTGAAGGTATATATGACTTTATGTGTGGTACATTTTTTGGCATTCAGCAAAAGAGTTTATCTGAAGAAAAAAGCCTTTGGGAAATATCTCAGAAAGCACTGGAAGGCTTAATAGAAAAAGGACTGCTCCAAAGACAAAGTGTTTGTAAGAATGGAGAAGAGTCCCAGTGTGATTTACAGATCACTAAGTTAGGGAAGGCCTCTTTAAAAGGTAAGGAACGTGGATGAAGTGCATTGCTAATTTGCATTTCAAATTTGCTGTGTTAATTTTCTGAGTATTTCCATATTTATGTTAATCTTGCTTACAGGACAAGCTATTCATTTGGTTGTTTTTTTTAACTGTTTGGAATTATTAAAAAGTTGTAATTTTTGAGGAAGTTGAACCTTTTAAATTTTATTGATTTAAAGTTGAATGTTGTATATTTTCAGTTTAAAAGGTTAACTAGTTTGTTTTTATAGTTACTAATATATCTTGAAAATAAAATAAAAATAAATATTTTAAACAGTATAGTGGTTAATGAAAGCCTGTAAAGGGCCTTGTGGGGCTCTTGTATCTGAGTAGAATATTGCAATCCTATTTATCTTATTTCTTTGAGCACTGAGGAAACTGACAGGAATGATTTTCTGTTTACTTCCAGATGGGAGATTATTAGTGGGAAAAAAAATTTCAGACTCATGTGCCTTTTTTAATTTTAATTTTAATTTTTTATTTTTATTATTTTTGTTTTGTTTTGTTTTTGGTTAGGCAGTGGGGTTAAGTGACTTGCCCAGGGTCACACAGCTAGTAAGTGTTATGTGTCTGAGGCCGAATTTGAACTCAAGTCCTGAATCCAGGGCCAGTGTTCTATCCACTGTGCCATCTAGCTGCCCCTGTCTTTTTTTATTTTATTTTTTTTAATATAGTTTATTTTCTCTCCCCTTCATTTCTTGCCTTCCCAAGTGTTCAAAAAGAAAGAAAGGAGGAAAGGAAAAGAAAACCCTTGCAACAGATATGTGTAGTCAAGCAAAGTTTCTTTGCTTTGTCCATGTCCGTGTATTTCTTATTCTGTATTTTGAATCCATCCCCTGTCTGCCAGGACATGGGTAATATGCTTAATCTTTGGTCCTCTGGCATCATGGTTTTTCTTTACATTGATCAGACCTCTAAAGTCTTTTGAAGTTGTTTTTCTTTCTAACATTGCTGTCTTTGTATTAACGTTCTGGTTTGCTCACTTCATTTTGCATCAGTTATTAGTAGCCTTCCCAGTTTCCTCTGAAAATTCCTATTTTAACATTTCTTATGGTGGATTATATTTGTGTACCATAATTTGTTCATTTCTCCAATAGATGGGCAGCCCCTTACTTTCCAGCTCTTCGCTACTACAAAAAGAATTCCTATAAATGATTTTTGTTCTTCTGCTTCTTTTCTGCTCTCTTTCATCCCTATATATAGTAGAATATACTACTATTCTATAGCAGTATAGACCTACTAGTGGTATACCTGGGTTAAAGAATATGTCTAGTTTGGTGGCTTTACTGTTCCAAATTACTTTCAGAATGCCTGGACCAATTCACAGCTCCTCCAGCGATGTGTGAATATGCCTATTTTCTACAGCCCTTCTAACAGTTGCCATTTTCCTTTGTTGTCATTTTTAGTAATCTGATAAATGTGGTACCTCAGTATTGCTTTAATTTTTATTTCTATGTTTATTAGTGGTTTGGAGTATTTGTTTATATGGCTGATGATAGCTTGGATTTCTTCCTTAGAAAACTGCCTGTTCACATCCTTTGATCATTTATCTATTGGGGAATGGCTCTTGTTCTTAGAAATTTGAATCATTTTTTATATGTTTGGGGTATGGTTAGATGCTGATGTAAAGCCAGAGTTCAAATTTCTTTTAAAATATTCGCTTTAAAGCTGTGTTCTGTAGTATTCTAAGGTTAGGGCACTATGATATAGCTCAGGGCATTTCCTAGAATTCAGTCATCAGAGTGGTTCACCATGTTATGAATTGGGGGTATGGGACGTAAAAGGCATTGGTTCCTGCACCTGAAATTTGAAAGAAAAAAAAATCACTCTCATCAGCTTCTACAAAACATGAAAAATTTTAGCTTGCTTAAGTGGATTTATTACTTAGGTGAAACTTAATGATTATATATTTAAACTTGCATAAAAACTTAAAAATTTATAAGAGTTTTCTGTTGAGATCATGAAAAATAAAAAACATTTATAATCTCTTTCTTTTTAGGAACTTTAGACTTGGCTTATTGTGACATTCTGTACAAAGACTTAAAGAAAGGCCTTGAAGGACTTGTGCTTGAAAGCTACCTTCATCTTATCTATCTAACAACTCCATATGATATGGTTTCTCAGTGCAGACCAGATTGGATGATATATCTCAGTCGGGTAAGAGCAAATTAAAAAGGAATTCCATTATTTAAGCTACGCAGAAAATAAAAATCTCTTCTTCATAAAGTATATAGATGATTCTTGTCTGTTTCAATTTAAAGTATTGAATGTTATTTTGAACTCAAATCTTCTGTATTCTAAAGAAATAATTCCATATCTAAAGAAATAATATCTTTAGTACATTTTATTTACACATAAGATATTAATAAAAGACCACAACTGTTGATTTAGAATTTAGCAAAAGCAGAGTTCTTTGAGGATGATAAATGTACAGTTATTCCTCCTGTATTAGATGAAGGCTGCAGGTCTCATAGTATAGTTAGCTTGCTCAACCTCTGGTCTTTCTCCTGCTGACCCAGGCCCGGACAGTGAAGCAGAGCTTGGGAATATGACCCAGGACAGGGTTGCACTGATGATTTGGCACAGCACCCAGCAGGGAGAACAAGGCCCCTCTCAGACTAGATGTAATCCTTTGTTGTGTGGAAGTCTGAGGAGGCAAGGAGAGCCATGCTATACATTGCATTTGACTTGAGTCTATATCTTTGAGCCGTGTCTAACTTAGAGTTCCACACCCTGAAACTTGCATGCCTTATGCTATTAAGAAAAGCCTTTATTTTCTTGGAACTGAATTCTCTCAACCTTCCCACGATCCCAAACTAGCTCATATAGAACGAGCCTAACCCAATGATAAAGTGAATTCAGGAAATGTTATTTGTTACTTGAGATTGAATATTGGCCTAATGCAAGTAACATTAAGACAGCCAAAAGATATAATTTGCTGTATGACAAGATGTAGTGGAATAGCGTAGTTTAATGTATTTTGGCGGTTGACTCTTCTTGGAAAGACTGTATACAAATTGTGATTTAAAAAAATTGAAGATGTGCAGCCCTGGAATCAGGAGAACCTGACTTCAAATCCAGCCTCAGACAGGCCTGGTATTAGGTGGGGAGGGCCTGTTCCATAATGATGTCAGCGTCAGAGGAGAGGCGGAGCTGTGTTGTTCATCCTTCGTTTTCTTTTTTTGTGTGTGTGAGGCAATTGAGATGAAGTGACTTGCCCACAGTCACACAGCTGGGAAATATTATGTGTCTGAGGTCAGATTTGAACTCCGGTCCTCCTGACTCCAAGGCCAGTTCTCTATCCACTGCGCCACCTAGTTGCCCCTATCCTTCGTTTTCTAAGAAGACCATTGACATCACCGGTGATGTCTTGACTTGCTAGTGAATTAGATCTAAATGAGGCAGAGTTGGGCAAAGTCCTCAGCCTCTCTGTCTCTTCCTGAGTCATCAAAGTCCAGTGGCAGGACAAAAGTCAGGACGACTTGCTAAGGCCCAGGATGCAGTGGATGACTTTGGTATCTTCGATGACTGACCAACCTTTGAGCGCTGCACAGTACCTGCTTCAACTCTTTTCATGGCCACTGGAACAAATTGTTCTCATCTACTGCCAGATAAAGTCTTCACATGCTTGGGATAGACATCTCCTTAACTCACCAGTGGATGAGGCCAGTTAGTTACCCTCAGCCTGGTTTAGCCCATGTGCTGAGATGGTTTGTCAGGGTGTGGCCTCTGTGCACGCCACAGCTTCTTGGAGCCACAGGTGAGAGTTGAGTGCCAGATAGACACCACAGGTGGACAAGCAGCCCTGGAAAGGGCTAGTTGAGCCTAGCCCTCCCAGCAAAGGTGCTTGCCCTCCCTGAACACCTTGCTTTTTCGCTCCTTCCTCCTCCCTCTTTCTTTATGAGGTGAAGATTGTTTATGTGGGGTGAGAGAGAGGAGTCGGGGTGACACCTGGGTTCCAAGCCTAAGTGCTGGGCGGATGGTGGTATCCTTTACACTAAAGGGAAGTTGGGAAGAAGGGAAATATGGCTTTAGTTTTGAACATGTTAAGTTTAAGCTTTCTACAAGACAAAATCCAGTTTGAGATGGTCAGTAGACAGTTGGAGACACAAGATTAATGTTATTAATGTTATTTTGTCTTTAGATAGTTCTGACAAAAAGTTTCATTATAATAGTACATAAAAGGGGCAGCTAGGTGGCACAGTGGATAGAGTACCGGCCCTGGAGTCAGGAGGACCCGAGTTCAAATCTGGTCTCAGAAACTTGACACTTACTAGCTGTGTGACCCTGAGCAAGTCACTTAACCCCATTGCCTAGCCCCCCCCAAAAATAATAGTACATAAAATATAGCTATATTCTTAAATAAAGTTTATACCATGCCTTGCAATTCTTTAACATGGTAGACATTATAGAAAAGATAATAATGAAGAATTTATTTTGAGAAAAAAAGACTTCACTGTGATTTTTTTCCATTTATTCCCCTTTTAAAAATATAGTTTAACTACCTTAGTTCAGCAGAACAAAAGGTAGCAGCAATTGTTGGAGTATCTGAAAGCTTTATTACAAAAAAAGCCTCAGGTCAAGCTATTAAAAAGGTAAGCTAATTTTTTAAAAATTCTGACTTTTCCAAAATAAAATGAACATTTCCACGTCCATTGTAGAATGGAAGGAAGAGCTTGTATGTGAAATTATGAATTTATTATATGGAACTCACTCTCATTCTTTTTATGTACCTAATGAAATCAATACATGTCTTTCAGAGCTGTCCTCCCATTAATTTCTTCTGACCTTCCTTCTGCTCTCTTCTCATTTGGGCTGGGTGGGGTGCTACCTGCTAACATGAAACTCTTCATTGAGAAAAAGAAAAGAAAATCAAACCCCTCCAAGAAAATCAATCCCCATATTGGTCATGTCCATAAAAAACATATCTTATTCAGCATCTTGAGTCTGTGCCAGGAGGTGATGCGTACTTCATCATCAGGACTCTAGAATCACAGACACTTACTACATTGGTCAGAATACCCAAGTCTTTCAAAGGTTTTTTTTTTCCTTTATATTGTTATTATTGTATAAATAGTTCTCCCAGTTCTGCTCACTTCATTTGGCGCCATTTTGTATAAATCTTCCCTGGTTTCTCTAAAACCATCCCTTTCATCGTTTTTTACAGCACATGATCCATAATTTGTTCAGGCATTTCTCAGTTGATGGGCATTCCCTTAGGTTCTTGATCTTTGCCACTACAAGAAGAGCCTAATATAAATATTTTTGTACATGTTTTGGGAAAAGGCCTCTTTTCTTCTCTTTGATTTCTTTAAGTGTAGACCTAGAAGTGATCTCTCCAAGTCAAACAATATGTGTAGTTTAGTGGCTTTTGGGTTATAGTTCCAAATTGCTTTCCAGAAAGGCTGTACTAATTCACAAGTCTGTGAACGGTATATGAGTATGCTTCTTTTTCCCTAACCCCGCCAACATTTGTCATTTTCCTTTGTTGTCATCTTTATCAATCCGATAGGTGTGAGATAGATCCTGAGTATTGCTTTAGTTTGCATCTCTCTGTAACTTGGAGCATTTGTTTGTATGGCTAGTAATAGTTCAGATAATTGCCTACTTTTATTCTTTGACCATTTATCAACTGGGGGATGGTTTTTGTTCTTATAATTTTTAATAATTTCTTTATATATCTGGGATATGAGATCTTTTTCAGGGATAACTTGCTGCAAAGATTTCTTTTTCAGCTACCTGTTTTCCTTCTGATTTCAACTGCGTTGGGGTTTTCTTGTGCAAAAGCTTTTTAATTTTATGTAATCAAAATTATTTAATCTCCTGTGATCTTTTCAATGCCTTATTTGGTCATCTATTCTTCCCCTCTCTGTGGTTGTGAAAGCTTTTTCTCTCTTTTCTTATCTAATTTATTTATGTTGGAACCTTTCAATCTAAATTATATACCCATTTGGAACTTTTTTTGGTACATAGTGTGAGTATTTACTCTTTTACAAATATAAGCTATCATATGAGGTGTATAAATGAGCTGTATCTTATTTCTTCCAATATTCACAGAAGTTTTTGTTGAATAGTGAATCTTTACCCTATTAACTAAGGTAGCCTAGTCTTGGATTTATTAAACAATAGGCTACTATGTTCATTTGCTGTATGTTGTGTATCTGATTTGTTCCTCTGATCTAGGTTTCTTCTTTTACCAAATAGTTTTTATTTTGTGCTGCTTGGTCACCTTTCTTCTTTTTTTTTTCCCCCAGTTATTTCTCTTGATATTTCTGGCCTTTATTTCTTCTAGATGTATTTCACTGTCTATAAAGTAAACTTTTGTTGGTTTGATTTATGTGGAACTTCAGTGAATTTAAGCAGTGATTTTATTATATTGGTTCAGCCTAAACATGAACAATTAATATTCCTCCAATTATTTAGGTCTTTATTTCCTTAAAGAATGTTTTCTTCTGGGCTTCTAGGTGGATAGAGCCCTGGGGCTTGAAGTCAGGAAGACCTGAGTTCAAATGTGACTTTAGACACATACTAGCTGTGTGACTTTGGGGTAGGTCACGTAACCTCTGTTTGCCTCAGTTTCCTCCTCTGTAAAATGGGCATAATTATAGCCACTACCTTCTAGAGTTGTTCATTTGTAAAGCACTTAGTACAGTGCCTGGCACATAGTAGATACTATGTAGATGTTAGATGCTTTTGTTGTTATTGTTATAATTAAAATTACTGTTATTAATTGTGGTTTATTTTTTAGAGTTCCTTAAATATAGCATCATATGATATGCAGAAGTGATAATTTTTCTATTTTAGTTTCAAGAGTTATTAAACATCATGATTTCTATTGTTTTTCTAGTGAAAATAGTTATATAATTATTCACAATGGATTGTGAATTTCAGTTAAGATATTACAAGAGGAAATGTAGAATATCCCAGTTCTCCCTTATAAACTCCAGCAAATATCTGAAAAAGACCCCCAAAAGAACAACTATTTTAAAAAAAAGAATCAGAAGAAATCTTTTCCATCAAGCCTAGAAGCGTACAAGAAGACAGAAACCAATGGAGTCGAGCAGGAGTCTCACCAGAGAAGCCAGCATGGCTGGTGACAAATGGCCCTGCATCCACCTAGCCAGTGCTTCAAGCAAAAGACTAGAAGCCATTTCAAGCTCTAAGTCCTAACTGCAGCCTGTCAGAAGAGAAGCTTGGAGAGAACCATTCCCCAGAGATCATTACACAGAGAGACAAGCCCCCAGCCCTGTACACCTTGAAGCACTGGAAACCAGAATGGAAAATAAGCCAGGTGGGCATATGCAGGAAGCTTGAGGCCACTGTGGTCTTTGGCATCTTACTAGGGCAAGTGGAAGCACAACAAAGGGTGGACCGCCAGTCAACAAACATTTATTAAATGCTTACTCTGTGTGAACTCTTGAATACACGTCATACAAGCAGAAAAATATAGTCTGCTCAATACCTGATTTTGAATCAGAAAGGGGGTAGTAGGGCCTTACACTAGTCTTCCCATCTTTTTTTTTTTTTTTTTTTTTTTTTTTTTTTTTTTTGGTG